GTTTTAGAGATGTCCTACCAGTTCTCGAAGCCTCTGGCCTCAATGCTAGCATGCCGTCATACCTGAAACCCGGTCAAAGTCAACATTCTGACGTCCAAGCAAATCTTGACAGAACTATCACCAAATCGAGGTGGATTGTGGAATCCTATCATGGTCGTCTGAAACACTGGACGTTCTTCCGAACGCAATTGGTGTCTAACAGCTTTATCAATGTCATCGAGGCTTTGCTTCGAACCGTCACAGCCTGTCTGAATGGTATTAGAGGACCGATCTACCAGAGATCTCCAGAGAGAGATGCCAAAGATAGGCTAATGGCTGAACGTATGAAGGACCGTTTGACAACACCGAATGGTTTAGCTCAGAGAGTCAAGACAGATCCGGATCTATCTAGACGGGCAAGGTCCGAGTTTGTCAAGATGGATGCATCTTCCGTACTGTTTCCCCGTCTCGATCTTGATTACTTGAGAACCATTACGTGTGGAACGTATCAGATATCTCTGGCTCCTGGTTACATCGCCGAACATTTAAGTGATGACGGAGACTATGAGGTGTGGCTTTACCAGCACTCCCCAGACCTTCTCCGATGTCAAATACATTCTCGACACAAAAGCCAAACGAAATATAACGTTTGGATACGGTTCACCGTTTCACCCGATGTTGAGGCCCCAATAAAGGACTACTACTGCCAGTGCCCAGTTGGAGAGAGAACGATGGGAATGTGTGCGCACATCTCCAGTATCTTGTACTACCTTGGGTATTACAGGACGCTGGAAAACCCTCGACCATTACAACCACAGGTAAAGAAATTCCGACAAAACTTGAAATAGTTTTCCATGCGGCAACGGAGTGCATATGTCGAAAGTATGTTTGGGGCTCGATATGAAAGATCCCCGTTACCATGTGACTAACCAAACTTATAAATATAGGTATTATACAATCGCCCGTAGCTATGAACACTCCCGTAAATGCGAAAACCAACCAAAATCATAAGGAACACGTTTTGTTTGTTGTTCTGTCTATTTGTCAGCCAATGTCTTCAACCACGGGGACTTGTGAAGTAGCCATCTTGGATTTTTTTTATGAAAAAGTGTTTCTCTCACTTTTTTTCATATCTGTGTACATATTCTCAACATACCGAGCAAATACTCTCGTTTTTTTGTTAATTATCTAAAGAAAGTCGAAAATCGGCAATTCAACCATAGGCTAATTCAACCCAACATTTGAAAATGTTCCACCACTTACATTTTGATGATTTTTCCTCTCATCAATAGCATATTACGTACTGTTTAATAGGATAAAAATTGGTTTGCATCCAACGCCCATAAAAGGGTGTATTCTCTAAAAAACACAGTTTTTGTGTCTAAAATGTTATCATCGAAAATGGCATTTTTGAGATTGTTTCTTCCATAAAACAGCCAAATGGCGCGATGGAAACATGATTTTTTGTCACAATCATGCCATGAATGTATTCTTTACGTTGACCATCATTTGATTATATTTTCATTAACATTTTACATAATATGCACATTTTATCAACACTTAGACAGCTTCTGAAAGGTACAACTTTGAGGAGCCATAAAAATCAAACCAAGTGACCTAAATCTTTATACTTTATAGATTTGTGTCCACAACGGCATGGGCAATGCACCACCAACATAAAATTTGAATCAGAGAAGGGGCCGTTTTGGAAACCGGCCCTTTGACTATTTGATACGTTCTATACCGAGTGTTCCATCTTTGTGCTAAGACACCGCAGATTATTTGTGGGTCAAAATCGCGAAAATTTAAGCCCGCGGGAATATGTTTATACCCCCGTTATACGGTAAAAAAGAAATAAAATAAATTAAAAAAAATACTTACATTTTAGTGCGTAAAAAAAAGTGTTTGTTTGAACTGTTAAAACCTTTTGTCGCAGTAAGTCATTGTTTATTGATGTTCTTTACAGGAATCCGACAAAAGTTACTCAATTACTGTTTTATAAATGTGTTTGTCTCTTTCCTGTTTCCTTACATATGACAGTTTATATGATTATTCTATACGATATGGAGGTTTTAATATAAAATTGTCATTCCCTCTTTGTATTATAAAAGAACTAAACTAACATTAATAGCAGTAGATCGTCTTCAATGACCCTGAGGAAATGTATGCTCTGCTTTAGTAATTTCATTTCGACGCTTAGATCCTCGTTCGAAGGTGATCTTAAATACTTAAAGTCACGAACAGAAAAAAACTCATTCTAAGCCTTAAACAGCGACACTTAACGTTATTAACACCCATGATGGAACCAGCATGAATCCCACTTCGCCTAATAGCATATTCAGTTATAGAATTTACTGTTTTATGAACATTTCAGTTGAAATTGACATCCAACTTTATGGCACCAGCGACAAGATTAGACCTTTCAAAAATAATAGTATCTAAAAATTCTTCCAGTCTGGGATATAATGCCTGAAAATCGTTTGAACAGACAATTCAAATATCTTAAATCTCGTAAACATCACATGCAACGTAATTATCGACAATGATGCTATATTGGTAAACGGTAGCTTACTTTCAACGTATTAATTATAAGTTGATATACATACGGTTAGTCAGTATATTACCAATAACTGCCGCGATGTCGTGAACAGTAAGAGCATGCGTCGGCAGCAGTAGAACAAATAATTGGTTAAATTCCCCGAAATGGTCCTGGAATTATCTATAAATTACCGTTGGGATTACAGAGACGGATGTAATTTCAATTGATTTTTACTGTATGAGAAATTCGAAAAAATAGCATTCATGCCGATTCAATTATTGGTGATAATAACGCTGAGTGTCACTTTTTGCTATTAAAGTTTCAAATGTATTCGTTTTGACATTTTAAGTGTTTATATAACGTTCAGATTTTTCGTTAATTGTATGTTTCTGATATCTAATTATTATCAAACAGTGTAAGTGTGATATACGAAAAGCCGTTAGGCTATAATTGAGGTTATATCATATTCATTTCTCACGCTAGTGCTTTAATGGTTTGTCTGATATTTCAATTAATAAGATTTTATATTATTGTAATTCATTGATAAGGACAAACAATATATGCAGCATTCGTGAATTTGAATATTATTGAACAGGTGCTTCGGAATACACACTAGTTAAACAACATACATGAATATTTTGTCTTTAAGAATAACATCGATATCTTAAAATGACACTTCTGCATAACTTTTGTTTTTAATTTTGCTGAAAAGTCCTTATTTTGAATAAAATCATTTGAAATACATAACACATGTATGTACTTCGCTATTACAAGGCACTCAAAAGGCAGACAAGCTACGAAGCCGCCTCGCTTGATTGGAGCAAATGTAACATTGCTTGAATACCCCAATCGAGCAGAGCCATCCGCGTCTTCGTAACGCGTATTTATCCTTTTACGTCTATATATAGCTTTAAGTAATATACTTTTCTCATTGATAATACTAAGAAGCGGCGTTTGGATTAAGATTAATTCGTCAAAACCATTCTTAAAATATATGTCTGGAATACATTGGGGAGTTCTCGTCAGTTGAAATGAAATGTTGAAATGTTGCATGCAATCTCTAAATCAAAATACTTTCTATTACATCACTATTGTTTTCATGAAGCTTTTCCTGGATGAAAGGAATAATTTCATTACTTTAGACGACATTAAATCAAATACAGCTTAATCTAATTCTCTTTCAAGTCCTGCAACTTCTTTACCTTTTTAAAATGTTGTATGTTTTTTTAAGACTATTGGTGATACCCCGACGATGCATCCATACACGCTTTTTATTATATATATACATTATTTTTATTGCATTGGAGGAGAATCATAAAGACGATAATTACAAAGGTCGGCCAGGAAATAAAGCATTATATTTCTTACCTACCAATCCATGGCCTTGCCACTATATAAAAATGTGTTCATATGGCACACACGATATATACCGGTTTTTAATTGAAACAATGAGTTTGATCAATTAATATTGTTTTCTTTGCGATTAATTTTTTTTAAATAAATTCATATAAGTATTGATCAGCTGTCAGTGTGCAATGCATAGCCAATATAATGATTGAGAAATAATTGCTTGAAAAAGCTTCAGAGGTATAATACAGCGAGACATCGAGACTTGAACCTATACAAACGGCACCCTAAATTGGAATTGCTTTCAGCATTTTATATAGCTACATTATGTTTTCCTTTAGTTTCTATCTCATTTTCGTCAGCGAGTTTCGCGACTTCAGGAATTATCTTTGTTTACCTGCTATTTCTGTCTTATTTATTTTGCCAAACAAACAAACAAATAAGGATTCTAAGCAATATATTTTACTCTTACTAACTATATTAGCTTTTACTATGCTTATATGATCATCCTTAGCGAACGGTGAGACTCGAACTTGTCTACACAACACGTTGGTCCATTGAACACTAAAAAACACTGTTTTTCTAAAAAAAATACCGTAACTATGTAAACCAGCATAATGGTAGAACTACGCTCATTGTCAGTGTTACAACGAATAAAAATCACAACGGAAACGAAAATATAATAAATTTGTTTTGCATATTTGTTAAAATGTTGCAGGTTGATGTCCATAATCTTTGGCAAAACTTCCTTTTTTGATTGCTTTTGAAAGCACAAAAATACTAATCGTGGATAAAATATAAAGAAAACACTCTTATTTACTAAATCATCCATATTATATTTTAATTTAAATTAACATGATCAATTCTTCCAACTTTTGAGTTTTTCACATTCACACAGGTTCAACGAAGATCATTTCCGAGTCTTTCATTATTTAACACAACCTACAGCAATCATCAATCTACCTCAGGATTATGTCCCTAATTCCGTTTACACGTCCACTGTTTATAAGTCTTAAACATATATTGTTGTTCTTGTTCATGAATTTACATTATTTATTTATCTTTTTAATTTTGGATTGGTGAATTGCATCAAACAGTTACATAAGCAACGGTATATAGAAAGTACATAACTCACCTTTTTTGATGACGATGTTACGTTGATAAGGAATTCTTCTTGTATCAGTACACTTACGCGTTCTAGAAACTTATAAAGATAGACGAAATGTTCGGATGGCAATGATTGCTTTTAAGAACACTTCCATTAGATGTCTCTTGGATTTTACTCCGATTGGGATTCTAAACAGCTCCGATCATTTTCTAAGAGTTCCAAATACATTCCGTTATGTTCAGCACTCGGAAATATCCGATTCAATAATCTGGAGTTAATGAAAATCAAATAACCGCTGAAAGTAAAGCCATAACATTAGGTATCCAGCACACATAAATTGTTGTCGTCTGCTCCGAACCACATCCTGTTGGAGATTGCAAAAACATGTCGTGGTGAATCCAATAGCTCTCACGTCTAGCTTGGAGTAACTTGCTGCGTATCAGTCGTTATCGCTTGTGGACACAATTAGCGTGCTATCGTAGTGTGCGAAAACCATACCAGATATAAAGTGCGTGGGAAATGAAAAGCGTACATTATTGACGTTGTAGTTTATAAGGTGTTTAGAAGGATACCCTCTTCCGGTGACCAAGTAAAACATGCGCAAATGTATACAACCACGAGGTTGGTTTTATCGATTTCTGTACAGATGTTTGAACTTCAAAGAAATATTTTCTAATTTGTTTGAATAGTTAATTAAATATATCGATAAATTCAGTACAGTAATTAAACGTGATCGTTTGCTTTTTCGCTGACTCTCTGTTTTTTATGTCGTGACCAAAATACATGGCATCAGTGGAGTTCATACTTTTAATTTATACGAATTTCACCAATCTAACTCCAATCATTGGAAACTAATTTGGAAAATTTAACACAGCTGTATTGCGACACTGTGAAGTTAATTTTGTAAATATCAGTTCACCGATTAATCCCTCTACTCTCTTACCAACACAATGTGGGAATTTTTATGTTTATGGCCTTGAAAAAAGAAACGATTGCAATATTTTTCAATATATTATGCGCGGATTGGTCGAGTGGTCAACACTCCGACCTTCCACGCAGGCGACCGGGGTTCGATCTCCCAAGTCGTCGTTCGCATGCATATTTAGGTGAAGTGTTTTTCTCCTGCCCACACAACTCCAACAACCCAGGTGGAGGATACATTGGTCTAAGGTGGATGCTGCTGTGAAGAAGCACTATAAATGATGCCGTTGGAAGCACGGTCCCACTACAAACAGAACACATCACATCTCCAGCACACACGCAGGCACATACACATAGGGTGATATTTAGCCAGGTGGCATAGGACTAGTATGTAGCGCCTGATAAGGCAGGTCCTGCGAATTCCTCAATATTGTATTGATTAATGTATATGCTAATTGTATTAATTTTATATCTATGTACTATGTAAGCGCTTTAGAGTGGATTATGTTAGCTAAATAGGGCGCTATAGCAAATGCTGTATATAATTATTATTATTATTATTTATTATTAGAACTTGCAACCATCCGAAACGTGTTGCTACAACTGGAACCAGTTAAGATCGATTGTTCCGAATTGGTCGATGGAACTGTATCTAGACACTTAGTACGTTATTTCTGAGAAACTGGAATATTAAATCAAGATTATGATAATATATTGAATCAAGTAGTTCATTACATTGGGGGCATTCAGGGGGCAAATATCAATCGGTAAAAAGTGAAAATGTTGTACGATATAGCATCAAATATTGATACACGGAGGGTAAGTAAAATACTGCTTAGCTTAAAAGACTTCCTCAAGTTGAAATGTTATTCCAGTCAGTAATTGATTTAGTCTAACCTGGAATCTTCGGCGTTATGTTAACTGTATTTGCATTGATTTTTAACTTTCATATACGTCACCGGAAAGTCATAATCAAAGTTGATAAAGGCAGTGTTTAGCCAGCACACCTTATCCCAGACAAAATGTACCGTCAGAGGCATTTATCAACTGGTGTGATTACGCCACATTCCAAACCTTCCCATGCACCACAGGTTTTAGTTAAGGTGCTTGCATTACTGTATAAAAATGGAAATGGAAACGATAATGAGTATTGAAAACGGATATTTTCCTGGTCCCCCTATCTATGGTATCTAGGTATGCTTTTTAAAATTTAAATCACCTATCTCATATTTTTTTATTTGTCAATTGTATCTTTGATAAACATACTTATTAATCACAATTGCATGGTCGATACATTACTATTGCCTGTATATGTATCCTTGTCACAATTCAATTTAAATGTTTATTTTGGTTTTGTGAATCCTCAAAATTACATTGTTTCAGCTGCAAACGCCAAAAATAGACAAACCGTTAAATTAAAGTATACATATAATGGCAGTAAAAGTAAAGTGAATGTGCAACATCAATACGTTATACAAGGGAAAAGAAATTCACTAGCGTTGGTCGATGGCAAATCAATGCAGAAAGAGTTTGCATCCAGTCATCATGGCACTGCAGGATTGTTAAAGACAATCTTATTGGTTAAGCAATTAAGTATCCTATATAACAATATGAGTTAACGCTAACCCAGGGGTACAAGTTTCGTGAAGTTTCCTACATCAAATTCTATGTTTTTGATCAACACCTATGATCCGGACATATTCCGGAAAAATGTAAATACAGGAATTGCTGTATTCAATTGCATTTTTGTTTAGACTAATCTGCAATATTAGAACATTTGTATTTTCTCAAATTTTCTTTTCTTTCGATGCTTCAGTGGTATTTCCCCAGGGACCTTTAGTTACCAGTAACCCATAATGAGAATAGTGAATGGCCCTATTGTCAGTCGACGCCGCCATCTTACCACATGAGCTGAAGTACGGTCCCATTATCAGTTGGCACCCCAGTCATATGGCAGTATATATGTTGTGGCCGCATCATCAGTGGACTAAGGCTGTTGTGTAGGCCAATCATAAGTGGGAACCGTTATCACGTGACCTGAACTGTTGTGATCCCCCAACACTTGTTCCGTGAGCCTTTTGCCTATTAAATATTCAATAATTACTTTTTATTACTTTGTTATTTGAGATATAATTATAATCTTGGTCTTTGTATCGTTCAATTACCAAGGCCTTCTAATCTTATTCATAAGGTACAATGATTTAGCAAAACATGGTATTTATATAATATATAAATGAGGTGTGATTCAAACTCATCAACTCTACAACCAAGTTAAAATTCATATACACAAGATACATTAATATAATATCTATAATAAGATAAAAAATTCCAATGATCAAGTATGGCGACAACGAGGTGTTCGTTTCCCATTGAATCTGCAAGTGACATCAGTGATAAACAAAATACCCTCGTCCACATTGATTTCCTGATCACAGCGAGACATCGACAAACCTCAAACATGCTACTCACTGCGCCTCTATCAATATGTATTTGCACATAGTTCTTATATCATCACGGTCTAGAAATAAATTGTGTGTGGTCATGCAGGTTTGTCTCGGTCTATAACAAGCATGGTCAGGTTTATAAATCGTTGATATAATAATACTGACATGAGTATACATCAAGTGGACGAAACGATATACGGGAGAGGCTTAAAATTAGAACTTGATCGTGTGAAGATAGAGTCTGAATAAAACAATATTTCGTAAATCCATCTACTTATTTGTCAAGAATGTGAACTATGTATGGATATGTTTATTTTATATACTTTGCGTTGATTGCAGTCAGTCTGCTAAAGCACTGTTAGCTTAAATATGCTACTTTGATAAAAAATAATATGTGTTGTGTATACATGTTTACAAAGTTCTATTTGCGCTTTAAGTTCTTTAAAATATCCGGAAGTTAGATGAAGTCAGACTCGGATCTAGAATTTTGAATTGTTAAGGTGAATTAGGAACGAAACGGAAATATTCAAACAGCATTTCTTTTCTTTTTGGAATCTTTGATAAACATATCTATCGTCTATATACTAATTTATACTACCCACCGGTATCATGATAAATTCATTACCATGCGACGTTATTATTATTATTTACTATTATTTATCTATGTACTATTTTATACTACCCATCGGTATCATGATAAATTCATTATCCGGGGTCGTTATTATTATAACTTACTAGTATTTATCTATATACTATTTTATACTACCCAAAGGTAGCATGATAAATTCATTATTATGGGTTGTCAACGTTTGTTCACGCCAGGTGACGTCCTGAACCGGAAATAGTAACCCCACAAAGGTGATCTGCGTTAGAGTTTCAAAAATATCTATCTACAGTATATAGCTTTTAGGTTCATGATGTTCATCTGCTTAAAACTGCCATTTGTTTTCGTTTCCGAAAGACCTAGATCTCGATGATCATTAAGCCTAGAAGTCATTTACAAGATATGGTATTTAGTCGACTTTTTATGAATGGAGAAATATATAAGGTAGTTGTATATGATTAATAAATAGGTTATCACACAGTCTTTTCTGGGTTTGTCGTTTGAACCATTTTCTCATCACTCTCAATGGATAAAATCAAGAGTCCACCTGCGGTGGTCCACAAGCATGCTATGAGAAAATCGGTCTCACGACAAACCCAGTAAACATAGTGTGATAATCTATAAATGCATGTTATTTACGTCAGATAATAAATCAGCATTTATTTTGTTCATTACAAGATTACTAAGATAAAAATGACGTTATGCCCCAATGAAAACTAGCGTAGTGGAAGACTTACTGGTATTCAACATACCAAACATTTTGACAGTTTGTATCGCATGAAATATGACATGAATTGATCTTCATGCCTTAATGTTTGCGATGAGCGCTTTTGTAATCTTGTTAAAGGGCCTGTTTCCAGTAATGTTAATTCTCCATAGGAGCCTGCCCCCGTATAATTTCTTATCTAGCTCAACTACTGTTTTTTTCTTTTCCGAAGAATAATTTTACACCTTTCCGACACCCAGATTTCATAATTTCAGTGAAAATGTATTTTTATAAAGTTGTCAATTTCAGCATCAAAGACATAAGTTCGTAAATAAAAGAAGGTTATCTCGAAATTGTAATTCGCAACATAGTATACATTTCTTTTGATAAATATTTCCGAAACATCGTGCTTATTCATAAAACATAAAAAAATAATTTCTCGGGTGAAAATGCACTTCTCTAAAAAACACAGTTTTTGTGTCTAAAATGTTATCATCGAAAATGGCATTTTTGAGATTGTTTCTTCCATAAAACAGCCAAATGGCGCGATGGAAACATGATTTTTGTCACAATCATGCCATGAATGTATTCTTTACGGTGACCATCATTTGATTAGATTTTCATTAAAATTTTACATAACATGCACATTTTATCAACACTTAGACAGCTTCTGAAAGGTACAACTTTGAGGAGCCATAAAAAACAAACCA